CCTCAAAGTTATCATTACATCTAGCCTAGAATTATTCTGCCCTCAGGTAAAAGAATAATTCTCTTATCAAAAATCTTGTAACAATCAAAAAGAAGACTTTAACTTATAAGAAATGAAATTCTTCAGTTTCCAAAATCTTTCAGAAATCACTAAATTTCTGGTTAGCAATTGCTAAATTTAGCAACCGCAAACCTGAAATCAAACTTTTGGTTAACTAACCTGCTGTTAACCTTGAATCAATGCAAGTGCGCAAACAGGCTTGGTCGGGTTAACTCGCCTTAACCTGGTGATTTAACCCAACCAATGCAAATGCTCTAAGTGACAAGCAGTGCAACTTTTCACACATGTCATAAAAACTCCCTACGTGAACCAGGCTAATATCTTTTTATGTTGAGTGCCATGAATCAAAAAAAAGACCATGAATAATTTTTGATATCATTATCAGGCCAAGGGTCCAAGAAAACACCCCAAATTTTTGGAGTGAAGCTCTGTGCACTCCAAATAATTTGGAGTGAGCAGGATTTGAACCCCTAGAAATACCTGGGCAGCAAAAAAACTGGAGTGCATTGGTATGCACTCCAATATTGGAGGACTTCCCGTCGTCCAAATCTGTTGATTTAGAAAGACATCCTAAACGTTATTTGCTGGCGAAAATTGATCAAGATCAAGTTTTCACCAGCCAATAGAGTTTGGGACCCCCTTCCAGATTAAGCGATTTAGGCGACGGGAAGTCCTCCATTTACAGGAGTGCAAAGCTGTGCACTCCAGATTCTTTGTACTCCAAATTTTCCCCTTTTGGTGTGCACTTCAAGAAAATATGGAGTGCATTGTAGTGCAGAGTGCGCAACATTTTTTTTTGGTGTACATACATGGGGGAAATCTTTGGTGTGCAAGCTGAAGGAGGCAGATCCATCTTTTGAGGAAGAGCTTGTTTTGGACCAACCCGGGGTGTGGGTGAGTATTCTCGGGGGGCGGGGGGTGGGTAGCAGACCCCGAAGCTGACTGAGTCTTCCAGTCCTCCCGATGACGGTCAAGAGGGAAGAAGGGCCAGTTGACTGCCAACCAACCCAAACCAAAGAACAAAAGACACACTCAACAAAACGACATCCATCCATCGGCAATCGACAATCGACAATCGAGAACCGAGCAGCCTATCGGAGCCTGCACTATCGACTCAGACTCACATCGCCCTCCATCTCGCTTTCTATCTTCGATCTATTCGCCGTTTATCCCTCGTTGCATTCGCTTAGCCGCCGCCAGCTGTCTCAAATCTATCGTCAGCCTGCCTCGATCCGAGCGCGCTTAACACGGTCTCAATCTTCTTCCAACCCAACCAATCCGACCCACTACCCCACCTTGCCTCCAAACCATCGATCCTCCTTTCAAAACCATGAACCCATCCTTCCCAATACAACGTCCTGGCGTCGTCAACAGTCCCGCAACTCCGCTCATCGCCGACCCCCATCTATCAAACTCACCCCAGCCGCCAAACCAATGGGCTACACTCAGCACCAATCCTGATCTACAGCGTACACTCTGTAAAGCAGCCGCATCCGGTCAACTCAACTCAGAACAGATGAACTCCTTCGGTGCTTACATGAAAGGTAACCCCAATGCCTTCAAGATGTTTCAACTTGAAATGCAAGCTATCCAACAACAGCAGATGGTACAACAACAACAACAACAACAACAGAAGCGACAACAACAACAGCAACAACAGCAACAGCAACAGCAACAACAACAACAACAACAGCAGCAGCAGCAGCAACAGCAACAACATTCATCACCACCACCTCAGCATCCCGAACAAGATAAATCCTTCCAGCCGGCTCATCAAATTGGTAAGATTCTAGGCTTGCTGTGACACCCTGGTTGAGTATTCACTGACAAAGGTGATGTTTGCATGTGACTTTTAGCTAATGGCAACACTGGCTACATCTCCAATAACCTCCCGGCATCTCAAGCACCACTCCCGATGGCTCATTACCAACAACCCCTAGCCACCTCACCACAACCCCTCCATCAAAGGCCTATTCCTGCTGAGCTCAGTATGCCCATGTCTGATGCCCAAACCAACCAAATGTTGATGCAGTACAAACAGGCTCAAGAAACTCTCAGAAACCTTAGCCTTCCCGTCGCTGAGCGCGAGGCAGCTACACAACGTTATATCGAGTCTCGTGACATCCTCACCGCTCGGCTCAATCACAATCGTCGTGACAACAATGGTAACAGTCCAAGTCCCCAAAACTCGCAGACAGCAGTTCCTCACACCGCCCACCCCCAACATCCCAACGAAGCCCAGCGAGCACAAATGTCAGCCGTCTATCAGAGACAACAGCAGATCATCTCTGGTATGCAGTATGTCACTCAAGCTAACAATGGTAACATTGCCCGGCCCCTCAACAGCAATCTCTCTGCTGCTACCTCAAGTCCTCGTCAAAACCTGAACCTTTCAGGACGGAATAGTCCTGCTCCCAATCCCCACAATACTAATCAAACCATGGGTCATCCGATCTCTCGACCAGGATCATCTCACCAATCGATCGTCGGTGGTCCTGCGTCCTCGCCGCCGGCCATGTCCAACGCCGCCAGTCCGCCGAACAGCTCTGTCATCGATCTCACCAAGAGGCGTATAGCTTCCAGGCCAGCCCCTAAGAAAGTGAGTCAATCCATCGGAACACCCGGTTCCAACGCCGGCTCGCCTATGAGTCAACCCATCAATCTGGCAACCTCACCCCATCCTACACATGCATCCCTTGGCCCTACTTCGCTTGGTACTCCCCACTCAACCCCTCAACCCAATGGTCTTCCATCAAACCCAAACGGCTGCAACAACACATCCCAGGCCTCACCTCCGGCTTTACAACCCAATGGATCTCCTGGTCGTCCCAAAGAAGCATCTCTCTCACCTGTCCCTCCTACGATAACCACTCCAGCAACTACTACCTCCAAGGTTTCTCCTGCAGCCCAGCCCAACCAGCCTGCTGCCCTGTCAAAACCTGCCCATGCTGCCGTTCCCAGTCTTGCGTCTCAGCAGCACTCTGCAATAGCTGCTCAACAACAACAACAGCAGCAGCAGCAACAGCAACAGCAACAACAGCAACAGCAAGCTGCACAAGTTGCAGCTTCATCAGCTGCAGGTCCCACTCCCACAACTAATACTCATCCTGCTCCTCGCGATCCGCCAAGCACTCAGCCCACGACACCAGCCCCAGTCCCCTTCCCTCCACCTAGACCAACTATCACCGGTGGGCACGCAACTTCTTCCACATTGGCAGGCTCGTTGATGCATCGACCGCCCACCAACGGAATAAATGAGGCCCTCGGTCAGGCTAGTGGAACCCATGAAGCTACAAGAGGCCAAGAAGCTACTAGTGCTAACCGGATCATCTCCAAACGGAAAATCCAAGAGCTTGTCGAAAGTATTGATCCTTCAGAAAGATTAGAAACTGAAGTTGAAGATGTTCGTCCCCTGTTTTCCTCGATCCTCTTCTTCCTCCCCCTTGCACCCATCATTCTGCTCAATGATCATCGACCGTTTTACCGCCTAACCACAATGCTTCTTTCCCCATCTGCTTCACATTGTTGTCGCGTTTTGTAGTTGTTGTTAGAATTGGCAGACGAGTTTATTGATTCCGTCACCCGCTTCTCCTGTCAATTGGCCAAACACAGAAAATCAGACCGCCTAGAAACAAAAGATATCCAGTTACATCTTGGTACGATTCATTCACATTTATACTTTTTGCTCACCTCCTTATTGAGATCCGAAACATGTGGATTACATCTACACTTTTCTGTTCCGTTTCCTTTTTTTTTCCTTGTTCCTTGCGATAAAAAAACTGATATTTTCCTCTTCGGGGGGAGCATAGAACGCTCATGGAATATCAGAATCCCAGGGTTTGCTAACGACGAGATCCGTCAGAGTCAATCCCGTCGTATCAACGCTTTACCCAGCTACCAATCGCGCGTAGCCATCGTTCGCGAAGCTATCCGTAAACGTCGGTCTACTAATACCTGAAAACAGGTCTATCAGATCTAGTATAAATATCTCCATCTGCACACACACATAGTCATACTCTGCACATAGGTAAAATCATGTGAATCGTACAAAAACAGTTTTTTCCCGTCTTACCTGGACGTTCCTAAACAAGTAAACCTAATCAATCCTATCCAGATGACAACTTGAGTAACTTTAAAACAGAAACTTCAGCGATGATCGTTATTATGTATATACATCATCATCATTATTATTAACGAGTATCTTTATACTTACTCTATCAAACAATTTTGTTGTGGAAGTGAGCTTTTCTTGGCGGACTACATATTCTTACCACCGACCTTTTGGTCCGGTCTCTTCGTTTGCTGTGCGGTCTTGTTGGCTCCTTCCTCCTCTTTCAATTCCTTCTGAGACACGCGTCCTTTGTCATGCTTCCTATTCCTTTATACATACATATATATATATGCAGTCTTTTTGGTGTATATATTGTATTCCCTATCGTTTCCTTTGGTTTCTTTTCTTTGTCCTAAGGAACCCTTTTCTTCTTCTTCTTTTTTTTTGATAAAAATATAGTATTGAGTCTTATCCTGGTCTTCCCTTTTTGTTTTCTTCTATTTGTTGGTTGGTTATTGTTGTGTCAATGTATATGTGTGTGTAAAAATGAGAGAGGATGGGTTTACTCTTCAGTTTATTTATTTTTTGGTATGTTCTTTCTTTGGTTGGGTGTTATCTATATACATACATACAGTTTGTGTTTAGATGTCCAAGCTGGAGAAACTTTTGGTGATCCTGATTAGGGATATAAATGCCCAAGACCTGTTGGGTCATGGATTGGGTTTGTGTAAAATTTGAGAGAAGATCTGATGACCCAAACCTGACCTAACCTGACCCAAACACTTAATGGGTTGGGTTGGGGCAGGTAATTTTGATCATTTGTGCTTTTCAGCCAAATTATTTCAATAGGGGGCATCAAATATAACCAAATCCACCATTCTTTAATTGACTGGTTTGAAAAAATTCACCCTTTCTTAAACATGTTTGTTATTCATTTAACCCCCTTTGGGGCCCTTTGATGCAAAAATATTTTTTGGGAAAAGTGACTGGTTTCTAATGGTGGATTTCCTATATTTGATACCCCCCTAATCTTGAGTCTTGACCCAATGCAAGCATTGGGCTGGATTTGGGCCTGTTTTTGGGCCCTGTTTTTGGGCCTGAACCCTACCCATTTGAATCCTGAATCCTAATTCCACAAGCACTTTACAAGAATTTAACTCACATTGTCAATTTTTTTCTCTGAAGAAACACTTGATTACATTTAGACACCATCAGAAAAATTACTCCAAAACCTTTGGGAGAATGATTCCCAGAAGTTGAGGGATGTCAGCAGGACTGGCTCTAAACAGTCAAGAGCCAGTGCTTGGAGGAGTCATTCTACTAATTCTCCTGGGAAAAATGGAAGTTGGCAGGTTATGGACCCAAGGGCCCTCTTGACAAGCCATACATAATGTACCCGGTCTTGCCCAAACAGGTTATGGGCCTGCCAACTCACATTCATCCCAGAGGAAATCCATAAGTCAGACTTAATGAATTCATAATACAGAAAGTATAAATGGCATTTGGAAGGGTCTTTATTGATTTGAGCTTTTGGTGATGGGAACTTTGTTTGCCCCATCAGTCTTTCTAAGTTCTTTGGGCAACTTGATTTGGAATTTTGATTTAGCAACTACAAATTAATAAATCCACACCATTAGGGGGGTTCATCATATCATTTCTTGTGTCTCACACAAGATACATTTTTTTTTGCTTGTCAGTCAAAAATTTTCTTGCAATAATCTATCATGAACCCCCTAAAGTTTTGATTGTGCTCCTGGTAGATAAGACAGTATATATAATCATGAGTTTTTCTTCCTTGCAAGATCAACTTGTTTTTGAATTGAAATGGACTTAGAGCTTTGGGACTTGAATTTGAAAATATGTTAGAGATTATGAACACAGTTGTGCTACAAGTATATTTGTGCTTGCATGCCAGCAGGCAAAATTGTAACATATGTAGTGACACTCTTGACTGTTACAGTCAATATATCAATTGTGAGTAAATACATAAATGAATATTATAAAGATAAACATTAATACAATGAGAGCAAGATTATGTATACAAGAATCAATAGGAATCAGGAGAGCACAAATTAATTGAAATAAATAAAGAATTAAGATCAAAAATATAGAAGATTGCTGATATCATAACCAGATCAACACTGAGTGGAGACTTGCATCCAATCAACAGGTTACACCAGTCACACTGAGTGGAAGATTACATCAGACAAACAGGCTAAAATCAGTCCAACCAAAATTCAGTTAAGAGTAAGCTATGGATTCATTGTTTACTTCATGTCTCATACTTTACAAAAGTAAGAAGATTATTCAACACGGTACATTGGAAGCAAACAAGTCCCCTTGATCCTTTTTATCCCCAGTGTTAACTCATATAGAATCATTTTAGTTAAATCCCCTATACTCATCTTGTTGAGCATTCAATAGGAGTTATCTTAGAAATGACTAAGAGGAGTTCAGATTACTAAAGATTATTAAAAGATCAAACAGTACCAAATTGTTATTACTATCAACGATGTAACTGATGCGATGCATGCATAGGTATTGCATCGTATCGGGCCTTTATTGCATCACATCGCAAGAGTGATACGGGGCCCTGCATCACATCGCTTGCATCGGATTGTTCGATACAGTGTATCAGTATCACATCAGCAAAGCGATGTGATGTGATGCACTATAATTTGGTGGCATCGGTTTGCATTGCTTTCCGATACAATGCTGATGCAATGCATCACTTTTTTGATGCGATACTGATACATGGCTATTTATCGCATTGTTTCACCATTGTTACTATCTTAATTATCACAATGCTTGGTAAGTGGAATTTGTTATCCATTTCTGTTACCCTCACCTTATTTCACAATCCAACCAAAGTTGTATTCTTGGAGACCCCTGGATTGAGCTTCAGTAAGACTGTGTAAGTCTTATTCAGGAATCTGAGCAACAAATTATCTCTGATATTGTTTTTAAATCATCCCTTTTTCAAAGAATTTAAGTCAATAGTACCACAGTCGACTGTTGTAAGTCCCACAAGCCTGGCATTGCATAATTGCATGGAAAAAGACTCTTTCCCCTTTGCTTTTATTCTTTTGTTTAGAAAATATCGGTATGGAAATAAAAAACCAGCACTACTTTGTGCACTACAGAAAATGTGTTGTGCACTGTGGGAGCCTTTGTCATAAATTTGCCTCTCCAGTGTGTGAGTGGTTTAAAATGCTTTGCACACTGCAAGTCAAAACCTCAAAAGTTCCAAGATTTTTTCCTTTGAGCTTGGAGGCAAGGTCCTTGTTGGCTTCCCAAAACAAATTGCATGCTGATGGCAAAGCCGGAAAGAGCTTTCCCCACAGTGCAAGGGTTAACATGGACCCCCACAGGTCAACGAGGGTGTATGTTACTGTACGACCTTGTCAGGCAACAAAGGAAGTCCTCCAATGGCTCCCAAATCACAACCTGCTCAGGCAACGTTTGAGTTTTAACAATGGCTATGTCTCTCTGGAAAGACTGGGCTGGCATCCAGACCTGCCTGCACTCTCACTCACCACCAGAGGCTTAGTTAAGTTATGTTTGATTTGCATGGTGTGTATGCAAAACTGCTGACCCACGTTTGGAGCATTTTGAATAAACCGAGTTCCAAGTCGAGACGACTGGGGAGACGACGGTCAACAGGACCCAACTGGCTGCCATCTTTTACCGACAGGAAATTTGAGAGAAAGCATCACTGTAGAAACCCGCAGACAACGTGGACGAGGAAGTCATCCAAGAAATGGACACCCATTCGCAGCCAGCTCAAGCCACCGAGGACTCGGCCGGACCAGAAGATGAAATCCGGGCGGCTGAAGCTGAGTTTACTTCCAAACAGGGAGGCACACCGTCCGATCGTATGGTAGATGAGTCACCGGCTGGTGAACATCCAACCGGCCGTCCTCTAGATTCGGCTGATCAGCAACCTCGGAAGAAGCTCAAATTGACAGAGGCTGATAAGAAAAGAAACGTCAGGATGTTTGGGTCACTAATGGTAATTAGCTTCTCCTTGTTATTGGGGAGGATGACTTGCATTCACATCAAACACCTGCTGGCAAATTGACTGTGATCATGTTATTTTTGGTTGCTTTAGGGTACCTTGAGCAAGTTCCAAGACGAAACCTCGAAGATAAAACAGACCGATGCGGTTGGTTGGATTGCGAACCTATGTACTTTCCGCGCACTCTTACGTGCCTCCTCGAGCTAATCCGTACAACATCACCCTGGATTGATTCGTTAGGCAAAACGGCGAGCGGCTGTAGAAAGCAGACTCCAAGCTAAACTAAAGCTTGAAGCCGAATCACTTCATCTGTTACGAGCTTGTGAAGTTGAAGAGGCAAATTTGAAGCAACAAGTCTTGCGCAAGGCGGATGAACTAGGACATCTCTCCGAACTCGTTAGCTTCATTACTTTATCTATTTAGCTCCTTCTTCAAATCCACTTTCAACAAAACACTAATAACATTTCTCTCTACCTTGTGATTTGTTGAAATGAGTAGCATACGATCAAATTTGCCAATAAATTGGCGTTTTCCCATTATTTACGTACTTCTACATCTAAATTGACAGACGCTGACCAAAACGAACCACCTTTGACTACCTACGGGCGACCGCGCCACTCAGAACAACCTATCTTTTGGCTACCGCATAAGTTGCTGCCAGAACAAAAGGAGTTGATCGAAACGTGAGCAGGTGCTTCTTGGATATAGTCGCTTCCAGCTCATTTGACCTTACGTGTCGTGCACTTCATACTACCCATTTAGTCAGCGGAGGGAAGTACAGGAAGAAGTTGAAGAACAACGACACCAGTGGGAGGAGGAGCGGCTGGTAAAAGAGGTAAGACACAAATGTCCCCTTTCGAATCATGCTTTTTTCTTCACCTGAAGTTGAGGTCCACTTCTCACACTTATTCTGCATGTCCTTGAATCCGCAGGAGGAGCTGGAAAAGATGCAAGCACACCGAGACACTCGTCTAGCTGAGATCCAGGCGGAAAAAGCCCAGGCACGAGGGAATGCAAGCACAGATCTTATTCCAGACCCGAACAGCGCAACTGCCTCATTGAATGTGACAGCCAATGAAACTGTTGAGGTGGCCGGAAGACAAACTTGGGAGATGGGTCAAGACACTCCAGATGTTGTTATCGATAATGGTAGAGATGAGGATGCGGTAGAATATTGAAAGTAGATGGGTCGTTATTTGATTTGGAAGGTTACTCCTATCGTGGTGAGAGACAAACGTATATCGAATGAGCTACCCACCACTTGTTCCCCCCCCCCCCCAAAAAAAAATCGACTTGTTTTTTTTTTCTATTGGTTGATGCTTTTTTCAACCCACATAATTTATCTTCCTCTGTCACCAAAAAGGCTCCCACCCTGGCTTTACAATTTAGCTCATTATGTCATCAATCACTCTGGATCGATTTTTATATCCACATTTGAAAATTAGATTGTTCCAATCCGTCAAAACCTGTGTAATGAATTAACTGTTTTCCAATTGCGCCAGGCACTTGCCAGGTCTCATATTGAAGTCTCAAATGTGGGGCCAGAAATTTTGTATCCAATGTAGATTGAGCATCTGGCTAACTTAATAAAAGTGCCACATAGCTTGCAACGAAGAGGCGTTTGCCTCTTTAGCTAGCCTCACCGACGAAGTGTGAACTTCCTTAAGTTAGAGCATCTGGTCAAAAGCTTGAAATCTCCGAGTTACATTCTAGTTCTCATTTTACATACATCCTGCCAAGACACATGAAAAAGAAAGAAAATAATGCTTTGATCATTAGGCACCATGAAGAATTCATTGTCACTGTGTTACAGGAGCTAACCATCAAATAAAGTTGGTTGTTATGAGCCCCCCTGCAAGACACCAAGGGGCCATTTTAGTCAAGTGGTAGTAAAACCAAATGTAAAAACAAAGTTGCAGCCATTTTCGCTCAATGTCACCTGTCATCTGGTGGGCATGAATTTTCCCGGTGTAAGATGGTTTACAAAAAAAAAACGTATTTTACAAGTAAAGAAGTGTGGAAAACCACAAGGTAATTGAAATGATGGCAGCGGAATTGAACCGAGTTGCCCCCCGAAATAGACGCTAGCTTGAAAAAGACTGACTGATTGTTGATATATACTTAGATGATGTTAAGATTAATAACAAAGTAGTGAGTTAAGCCAGGACAGCTTTGTAGTGCCATTCACAACCACGCTTTCTAGTGCTCGGATATTGATGGGTGATGCCTGGTTGGAAAGTCCGAGGGGCAGGGAAGGTAGTAGACGGGGGGAAGTTTCTGGGCGGATTGACCGAGAAAGCAGGAGGTGGGCTAGGGGCTGTATTGTATGGAAAATCACCCAAAAAAGAAACATTAAAAATTAGGGTTAGAGAACAGAGTCAATAACCGAGCCTTTCAGATCACATGAGATGAAAGCTTACGTCGATTACTAGCTGGGGCTAAAGTACCAGAAACGACCATACTCTGAGGGCGTAATCTGGTGGTCCCGTTGGCTCGAGGGACTACGACACCCTAGTCTTCGGGTGCCGATGGGGTACTCAAACCACGAGGACGGCTGTCGTGATGGGGTGCAGCGGGCGGAGCGGTGGTTGATGTGAGGGTGCTGCGAAGGATTTTGGCCGAGCTGTGGATAAGGGGGCAGCAGTCCAGGTGGAGGCGTGCGGGAGGAGGGGTAGACGTGCAGGTGCGGCTGGGGGTTGCTTTCATTGACCGCACTTGTAGATTGTACCGGTGGAGTGGTGGGGGTGGGGGCGGACCGGACGACGAGGAGTGTGGACGCGGGCTTACGATATCGGGATATCAGAGCATGGTACTAGTAGAAGCTGCCACCCATGGGCGAGTGGTGGAGCGGAG